GTTCCTAGGAGGTCCAGGGAGGTCCCTAATGCGTAGGGAGGTTCGGGACGAGTGCGGGACCGTAAGATATTGCGTAGTAGGAGTTGTACTCGCTAGAACGTCAATATAGAGTCGAGTAGGTAGTTTATGCAACGGGGTCTCGAGGGTGTAAGCTCCCGAGAAGGGATATGCCAGGGAGGGTAGGTCCCTGGGGACTAGGTTTGAGGATGGTCGTCCTCGAGTATGGGAGGTGGTAACGGAGAAGCAATACGTAGTTCGACGTGAGGGGTAGCTTCGACGTTACCTAGATCGAGGTCCCGAAGCTTACGAAGTAGCTAGGGAGCTCTGGGAGGTTTGGGGAAGGGTAGCTCACCAAGCGGGTAGGCGTTGGGAGCTTTAGTAATGTTCGAGGGAGCTCGGAGACTCACTCGGAAGGCTTAGACTTGAAGTGAAAGCGTATATTCGATCGTATGGACGATCAGAGAGACAGTAGACAGGAGTAGAGAGAAACAGAGGTAGAGAAACAGAGAGTAAAGAGAAATCCGTATGGTTAGCAGGTACAAAGGGACAGGGACTGGACCTATGCAAAAGGGTGTGTGTTCAAAATATACCAAGCTGGGGCTTCGGGACATTGAGGCGTTACTTAAATAGGTACGGGAAGTGAACAAGAGAACATCTGGAGGCATGAGGTAGCTAATCGGAGGGAGGGAGGTAATCGAGATTAATACTTAAAGGGGTTATCGGCTAGAGGGCTTTCGTACGCGTGTCGGGATGAAGGACGTTTGGGTAGTGGCGTCAGAAATACTTGGGGAGGTGTCGGGTGATACTTGGGGAGGTGCGGAGGACATACAGGAGGTGGTTAGGACGTATGGCAACGTGTGATGATTACTGGGACTGGTCTGGTTGTAGCCAGGGCATGACAATTTCTATTGCTTGAGGCAAGTGATGACGGTGAGTCACTATGCTACAGGCCGCCGCTACACCTCTAACTTCAGCTCAGAAATTGTATCTTTCTTTACCGACCTCTGCGATGCCACCATAGGACCCAAAGGAACTGTTATACACGATGAAACCAGTGAGTAGTCGAAGTTTTTTAGCCTTGAATCTGTATCTCAGGTGCATCTAGAGAACTCCCATGGGACCTTTACAGAGACAGCGATTGATATTGAGGTTCTTATCAAGCAACTCCGGCGGGAAATCTTCAAATCTGAAGTCTGTAAGTTCCTACCTACATGTATCTTAGTGTATATGGGATCAGCTGTAACTTGCATAGGTGTTGAAGAGCGTAATCAACACAATCTTCAGCAAGATCAACAAGGTGAGTTTAGACTATCTTTTTGAGTAGGCCTTCCGGCAATGACCTCTTTTTAGAATTGCGTAGTCTACTCAAGGATATCAAAGGAGCCGGAGTTGGACCCAACAACGAAATGATTAGTCCTCCAAGCTCTGCATTTTTTGCAACCGGTAGGTGGTAGGAAACAGGTGTTTCAATTTGGCTCATTTGTGAATACAGGTTCGAGCATAGATGACCCGATAGATGTTGACTGTAAGTGATTTCACAGCAGTTACCTACAACACATCTGATGAACTTGTAGACGTTGAAACGTGCGCTGATTGTAGTCAAGAAATTGATACTACTCTTCACAGAGAGCTCTGCTTAGGTATTTTCGATAACCTGTGATATGTTACTCGGTACTTTCTAAGACTCAAACTTACATCCAGCTCTGTAAAGTTATATAAATGTTGCTTAAAGGTTAATTAGAGCATATAGTTCAATGTCTGTGTTACCCTGCTTGTACTGTATGCTCTACTCTTATGAATGAAATAATCAAAATCAGAGCCATGACAATCTACCCAAAAGTTCATCTACAGTGGAAAAGTTTTCGAGGCGACGAAGATACGCTGTCTTTTTGTTCCCCTGCATCTTAGCATGACCTTCTGGGTCCTCCCTCTCAAACTCTTCCTCTGTACGACATCCGTTCTCAACCCAACGAAAGATAGCGCCTGCCGTATATTGAGTGAAGGATGTCCGAACATCTCCATATGCAACGGGAGTGTTCGAATGTGTTATAACGGCGGAGGGAAGGAGTATGGTAGCCGCGTGAGGAAAGTCAACTACGAGTTTCAGCTCCCATAGGATGAGTTGGGCGCTACGAGTTGCGTCGAAATTTCCTAGCGCCGTGATCGCACACCATCCGAATGCCCAGTTGAGGGAGTCGCGGTGTTTGAAGGTCCAAACATCCCCGCTGACACGCCTAAATTTTGGCTAGACGTCTATGCTGTGAATTGTGACATTTTCACGTATAGATTTGTATCAAGAGGACTGTAATTGAGACCCAGATTGACAGTCAAAGTCGATACTGAATCAGTCTAATAAGTTGAAGGGACCATATACCCATACTACCACAAGTTGGTCAGTTTACCCATCCCCGATACTACCTACGGATAGCAGTCTACCTGTTTGTCAAGCAGGATTATACCAGACTCGGACTACATCCGAAGGATGACCATTCACGTATGACATACCAAGGGTATTCTTATTGGACCTTACACTGGCAGGAGTTTGGAAGAACTTACTCAAGTGACCATGAACCGAGGATTGACTCGAAATGACTTTCTAGAACTCAGGAATTATCAAATACTCCTTCTAGAACAAGATCAGGCATTAATCTAAAAGACTGCGATTTAGTCTAATAGACCAATCAAGTTGCATGGTTAAGGAAAATGACTAGAAGAACGATCGAAGTACTGCGAGGCTCCGAAGACATATCAAATGGATGTCAAAGAGACCTGACGTAGAAAACATTGAAGAATGCAATTAAATGAATACTATGCGTAACTCCCTTGATAGAGTATAGGCACAATGGGTGTCTGTTGAAAGAGAGAAGCAATTAGTTTAATCCAGATGAATCAGATTGATAGGATTAGAATCGAGGAGAGCTGATTTGCCTCCGGACGAGATGACAAACGATCGAAGTAAGTGTTGAACCGCAATGACAGTTGAACACCATTCGAGTCATTCTCTAAAAACAATTAAATTAAATGAATATTGAAGTACCTACCTATGTTTGGAGGTATACTAGAATCTTGGAACCAATATGGACCAAATAAGGACATGTAGATTCAAATTAAATGGTATCTGACTGAGTGTAGAAGTTTCCTTGCGGTTCCGAACGTTTATTGTATTAAATTGATTGTACTATGCGCCTCTATATTCTGTATGTATAAATAGCGATCCGATGTATCTGGAATAAAAAAGTGATTTTGGGACGACGTTGCAGTGCTAATCCGTAAAAAGGAAAGACACACTCCCGCCAGACTGAAACCTCTTCGCTAGCAGCCATTCGGGCCCGGCACTTGTGAGTATAGGAACATTGTGTTCTGCTCCTTGTGACTGCGAGAAGTATATCCAGTTGTTGGGTATTCTTCGAACTTAGGATCAGTCGTTGGTCTTAAGGGCAAATCACGCTGTGTGGTTGTGCCAGCACATAGTTCTAGCCCTCCGTAGGGGTCTGTGTGTTTCGGTTTTAATTTACTTTGATTCAAACCCCCAATTCTTGATATACCCAAATCAATACAAACCAAAGCACAAATCGTGCTGAATCTACCTTGATCAAAGGAATACATCGAATCCTTAGAACGATTCAAATTGATTGATCGAAGCTTCGTACTTAGCTCTCAAAGCTTTGCGGAACCTTTGCCAACGCTACCCCTTGCTATTAAATAAATTTGATAGCAGTGAACTCGCATATTGTGTATTAGATTGGTTGGTTGGAGTGCCCATTAGATTCCTTCCTTTCTCTTTCACACAAAAACGAGGCAAGCTCGTTATCTGGAGCCCACCGCGAGGGGTGGTTTTGAAGCTACAATTAGCTTGATAAATTAAATCGAACGTTTGTTTGGATTATATTCGATTATTTGGTAGAAGTGTGTTGATCTTTGTGATACCATTTCTGTGAACTGTCAACATTAGTTCATCAGGAAAACCGCGTACTTCGAAGAATTCGGAGAAAGCAGGAGTATTGACACCGGAAGAATATCGTAAAGCAGGAGTTGTATTTGGGAGATCTACGTTCGGCACATCAGCTCGAACATCCCTATTAAATCCTACGAACGAATCCAGTCGTCCATCCTCTTCTCAAATACCGACAGAAGAATCGCGTGGAAGTTCTGTTTCTAGAGGAACAGGATCATCTATATCTCGAGGAAGACTTACATCTTTGCCGAGGAATTTGAAGAAATCTAATCTCGATCCGAAAAGAAAGAGAAAAGAAATTAATCCGATTGATATTGAAGAAGATATAATTGAATTGATTGCTCCAGAGTCAATTTCAACATCTTCTACGTCGATTGAATCAACTAGATTGATAGATACGTTACATCAGACTATCTCTCAAACCAGTAACACGATTCAACCAGTCAAAATGACTACCAATAATTATGGAATGCCTGCGTTGTCAGCTGAAGCTAAGGCTGAGATTGATAAAGCCAGTGCGAAACTTCCAAGAAAGTATAAGACAGCACCATTATTTGATATAACTGATCCAAGTCAAATGATACCATGGTTCGAAGCTACTGAAAGCATATTTGAACATGGAGGGATTACATCTGACGAGGCTAAAGTAAGATTAGCTTTAGAATGGACGTCTTATAAAACGAGACAAGCATTAAGAGTCTTTGATTCGGTGAAGAAACCGAATTGGGATCAATTTAAAAAGGATCTAAAGAATATGTTTCCGCAATCTGTAGGAGACGAAAGAGGATCTAGATTATTGCTTGAACAATTGGTCCATCAATTTAATCCAATTGATGCAGGTGAACAGGAGAAGATGAGAATCTTCAGACTCCTCTTCGATGCTGAAATGAAAAAGCTGATGGATGAACCGAAAATGATCACAAACAGTGATGCAGTAAGATTGTTCTTGGCACCTATGACTCCCGAAGTAAGGAGAGGCGTGCTAGAAACAGTTGTGAAAGATGTATCAGTTACTTCTATGTCAGATAGACGAAAGGAAGACCCTTTCAAGATTGACGAAGTAATGAATGCGGCCGAGAAGTATATGATTGGGAGTTCATTTGATAACTACTATCAAACACTTTCCATTGCTTCTTCGAGCCCACCAATTAATAACCCTAATTCGTTTAGTAGGGGACACATTAATTTACCGTTTGCTGCAGATGTTCCCAAGACAGATAGGAATTATCTTCAGGTATTGAAACCCAAAGTAGAAGACGAATTTAAGGATCTTCTGGGAATTAAATTAGAAAGTTTGATCCCAAGGGAATTGACAGAAGAACAACAGCAAATGGTTGCGTTGAATAAAGACCTCATGGAGGCGAATATGAAAGAAATTAGAGCTGTGAAGTCATTACAGTCGCACTTCAAAGAAGGAGCAGACATTATGACGCAGTTAACAGCAGTAATGGCACAGATGGCCAAAGAAAATGCTAAAGGAATGATTAATTCGATACCACCGAGTGGTCCCTCGAATCAATCTAATAGATTTGAAAGAAATACGACACCGAAAAGTTCGAATGGAACTCAGTGGGCATGTTTCTTGTGCAAGTCGACAGATCATTTTATGAATGAATGTCCACACTTGCTGGAATTTACGAAAAGAGGTTGGATGATGCCTGAAGGAGGTGACTCGAAGCGTTACAAATTAAGGGACAACGCTAGAATGCCTCGAGATGATCCAAATGTACCTCGTTACAAGAAAATTGAACAAATGGCGAAAGACTTGGGATGGGATCGTGCTGAATCCTATTTTGCAAACATGGAAGATGACGAAGATGATAAAGTCATGGACCAGCAGATGAATCCTAACGTCAATCTAGCTGTTTGGATGACAAGAATAGAGGAACTATCAGATAGACTTGGGAATTTAGAAGCACACCGAGAAGATGATGTCCGTGTGTTCAACCAAGATAGTTCAAATGGAAAAAAATAAGTACTCCAATGAAGGAGCAGGATCGGTCCATGAGAACTTTAAGATCCAATGCTGTAGCTCCGGAGGAAAGTGAGAAAGCAAAACGAAATCAATTTAATGAAAATACGAAAAGATTAGTATTTGATGGGGTGCATATACCCAAGAAACCAGGTTTAATACCAGGGAAATTGGTTGAAACGACCAATGGAAATCAGAAAACAGTGAGATTTGAGGCTCCAAAGTCCATAGATCGGCCTTTGAAGAAGCCTTCAGTCACGATTGAAGATGTTAATGAATCTGATGACGAGGATGCTATTAAATTAATTCCTTCGTCAAGACCAACGAATCAAATTAATAGCGAACATAGACCGTATGATCATGTTCAACCTAGGACGTATCGTCCTATTCAAATTAATACGCCTACGAAGGTACCAAGAGACCAGACGAATCAAATTGATAGTCATGGATATACTCCAGCCTATAAAATTAGGAATGAAGTCTCGAGACCAGGTGTAGAAGAAGATATAGCAAAGAAGATATTCGATGCTAAAGTTGATTTGAGTACAGAAGAATTAGCAGCTTTATCACCTGCTATCAGAAAAATTATTATGCGCAAGATACGCAATAGGAGAGTCCGACCAAGGACTAAAACGAATAACTACGTATCAACTTTATCCGAAGATGGAGAAACTGAAATTTTGGACGATCCGTCTAGGGTACAGATGATTGATACATGCATTAGAATTGAAGATCTTTGGCAGGATCAGACGGATATGTTTGAAGTCCTGACTGAAAGTCGTAATGACATTCCTGTGGGATCTATAGTGCAGAAAGACATTGTGGAAAGTTTTCTACGAGACCTTTCCATTGATGATGAACGAAGGAACATTGCCATAGTTGCTAATCAAAGCGTGGCATATGAAGACCATAGTGATCATCCAGTGGTAGTAGCGAATCAATCAAATGGATTACGTGCTGTTACTCCTGAAATCAATAATAAAGATGAAGAGATTGAAAGTGTATTGGACCAAGGTTCACAGATTGTTGTGATAGACCGATTGATAGCTATAGGTCTAGGAATTACTTGGGATCCAGAATTCACGATCAGAATGCAAGATGCAAGTGGAAAATTAAACCAAACTCTTGGTTTAGCAAGAAATATTCCATTTAAATTTGGTGAAGTTACGGTGTACTTACAACTACACGTACAAAATAAAGCACCATTTCAAGTGTTATTAGGGAGACCTTTTGACGTCTTGGTGGAAAGTGAAATTAAGACCTTTGGAAACGGAGATTCCGAGATAACAAT